CAATATACAACAAGGGGGTTCACAAAGACTGCTATCACCATCTGCTTCTGTACTTGGTTTGTCAGGCAGAGCAGTAGAGTGTGTATTTTACAAGGCTCGCCTGTAGGGTGACCAGACAGGAATCCTGAGAAGCTCCAGGCTGCAAAATCTGCAGGGGACGAACTACAAGAAGTGTTTCAAGGTGGTGCCCTCCTCAGACACATCTTGGAACTGATTCGCAGGTGCAGCATGTGAGAAGGAGGGTGGATTCCTCAAGCTGATCCCGCAAAGTTGCCCTGAACCAGAAATTGCTCTGTCCTCAACAGCAGTTCTCAAGGCCTGAAACACTGCGGTGCCTGACGAGTTCGAGGCCGCCAGGCGACTTAAGCCAGGCAGCACAAAGGAGCCCCGTGGAGAGAACCCTGCACAAGGGCAGCTTCCTCAACAAGTCAAGGAATACGACTTGGAAGCGGGAACTGGGACCAGAAGTTACGTGGGGGTTCTTCTGACTTACTGTCCAGTTTGGCCGTTCCTAGTGAAACACGTGATTCATGATCATCAATGTCACGACACTTGCTGATATTGAGTGGCATGACCCCTCTGATGAGGATGATTATTCTTGTGCTTCTCTGCATCGCTGGTTGCAGCTGGCAGCGAACGTCAACAACAGTTGACTTGCTGCATCAGGCATTAAAGAACCAGCTGTTCTCCTTTGGGGTCATTTGAATACAGCTCAACAAGCATTGCACCGGTTCACGAGGTATTGCCTTCTGCGAGGCCAGAGCAAACTGCCAGTGGCCAGCTTTGAAGAAATGCAAGTGCCATGCAGAAGATCCGAAAAAAAATGGTTTTCTAGTTATCTATCAAGCTCCTCCATCGTCGCAATTTCCGATACCACAGATTCTCAAAGCTCCCGACATACACAGAAACCCTCTGCAGCTGCACTCTACTTCTGTGCCACCTCCAAAGCATCAAGCCAATTCCACTTTCACAAGTCTGAATTTAGCGTTCTGAGTAAGCTTGTCAAATCCGCCAACAAACCAGCAGACAACCAGTCGTACGACATCGTACCCACAGCGCGCCTGATGACCTCCTCCAAAGCAACAGCCTTGCTTCACATCTGAGGACTCGCAAGGCTGAGCTGGTAGCTTCACATTTCTGTTCAAAGGCCACAGAAGCAACCCGTCAATGCATTGAGGTTTCGAACTAGTCCAGCTCAGTATCAACTGAGAAGGCCGCGCGCGCACAGTCTACGATCAGACATGTGCCACCAGAAATCCAAACACGTACCGTGAAAGAACCACAGTTACACTTAATCCAGGACAAGCCCGTCCCCCGAGCCTCCACGTTTGCGGCCAGGATTTGGAGACATAGTGCCGCCAGCAGCAGGGGCAGCACTGCCAGGAGGCTTGTGTGGCTTGAGGAAAGGTCGAGGCTAAAATGCTCATGGCCATCAGAAACATGTGAGGCCTTGCACTGAATCTGTTGGCGGAGTTGCCACATTTGTTTGCGGCAAGCACACGTTAACGTACACCCCTCCCCACCCTAAACCGCCCAGCCTGTTGATATGCAAGAGTTTGCAGACTGATTTTCTTGTGACCTTGGTCGCAAGACATCAGATGCATGGACAAGGATTCCCCTTCCTAGGCAGGTGCAAGGTCCAGAGCCTGTATGCACTGCGACAGGATGCGTCAAGTCGTGGGCTTGGTTCATTGGCGCCAGGAGCTCTGGGCCCGTATTGGTAGTCTTAGTTCATGTCGTGCACCCGTCATGATGTCCTGACAAAGAGGGAGGACGCTCCAGAAAGTTCAAAAAAAAAGGCCCCAGCCAAGGCTGCTGGAGCAGCACCACTTCTAGAGGTGCAAAAAGAAGTGGTTGATAACCACAAGCATTAATGCAAGTGCATGCCTATAGAATCACTTCCGCAAAGGCCTTTTGGTGGATTCAATGGCTCTTTGCACCTTTGTCAGTCCTGTTGAAAGGAATTGCAGGCACAACACCCTGCCCAGGTGACACTGGCTGAGGCCCCATCTCGCATGAATATTGAGCGAAAGACCTCAGGCAAACAGGACATGCGGAACAACAGCTTGCTGATGGGTGCGGCGATGAGGATACAAATGCAGATGGGGTTCTAGTCCTTCGCACTTGAGACCAAGCTCTCGAAAGCATGAACCAAGCAAAAGCTGGGGGGCCCTCATTCCTGAGAAAACACATCTGCGCCAGTGCAAGAACTCCCGCCGGTGTGAGGATCCGAGAGCAATCTGAGTTTGTCGTCGAATCGTTCTGAGTAAAAACGCATCTTCATCTCAAGGTTGCAATAACACTGTCCTGAGGCATTGAACGTCTATCTCAAAGTGAAAGATCCCGACAAGACTTCTGAGATCACCCTGGTACTTTGGCTCCCACACCGCGCTTGATGCAAGTGGCTTCCTGCTAACTTAGGCAGAACAATCATCCATCCACGCCCCTCACCGCCCGTAGCTGCGAAATAGCCCGTAGCTGCGAAATAGACAAGTTGTGCAGAATAAAATTGTGCAGAGTAAGGAGCTTTGAAGCTTTACAGTCCCAAGATCCAAACACCAACGCCCGCTTCAATAGAATCAGTCGGGGACCAGCAAGTCTGAAGGCCTAGACCCTTAGAAACAAACATCCTACAACTTCGGGCCAGCCAGCATCTCAGCCGAGCGACGCCCCCGCCATGATCCCAGATGTCCCAAGACGGGTCGACCCTACTGGAGGTATTGAGCCAAGGTTGCAAAAATTTGGACTTTGGTGCTCCATCGAACTTGCGCAGCATTCTTACGTATTCTTGTTACGGCAGGTGGTGGCAATTTTTGCTGGAAGACCAGCCGCTGCTCTTTGCACCACATGAGGTGTTGTGTCCTAAACTCTACCTGAGGCATGTCCAAAGGCACCCCTCCAGCCTGCACATACTACCTGTGCATGAGCATGCCCGGTTCACTCGAAACTTTTTCTTTCCCAAGTCGCGGGCTGTCCTTGCGCAGCCGACGGCAGGAGGCGTCAGCGGACGGAGTTCCGCCAAGCTCTCAGGGCCCCGACGAGGATCCGACACACGGACCCTTAACCCCACTCCCCTAACCCCACTTCAAAACGTTGGATCATCCCGTTTGTCGACCCTTAAACAGGCCCTAGACCCTGATGGCTTGCTACTGCCTGATGTTGAATTACAACACCTGCTGCTGCTCGCCGAGTTGTGAATGAACACTGGAAGTAGGATGTTGCTTACACCATCATCGCCACTTACGATCGTTTTGCTGAAAGCCCAACCTTTGCGAGCCCTGCTTCAGCATGGCAAGGCAAAAACTCTTCTACTGAGGAATGAGTCGGACTTGAAACTCAAAGCCAGCAACCAAACAAGTCAATTTCAAGAACCTTCCCAAGGGCCTCAATTTCTCGGATCCTCCGAGGCTCTCGGCAGGGCAGGTGAGGGCTCAGCCCCGCCAGCCTCTAATCCCAAGGAGAGAGAAGGCCAAAGAAGCCCCTTATCCTCAACGCTATGACCCTCACTGAAAATGAAAGCCCGACATCGAGCGGTCTCATGAACTCGTTAACTGCAAAATCACTAGAGCATAGATCCCTCGACAGAAGCTGCAAGATCTCCCCCAAGTTGCCAAGGTTCCCTCTCTGAATTTCTAAACCAAGCTTAGTGTTCCTAGGCCCTAGGCCCTAGGCCCTAGGCCATGCTGAAGCCGTCGAATCTGGAACCGTAGACCCCCAAGCCCAAGTCCCTAAACGCTTGAACCAAATCGTTGACTAACCTCTCACCGTAATTTGTCTTGGAACATAAACCCCGTGCACTGCTGGAGGGGTGTCCTTCCCTCACTCTCCACTGCCGGGAGCCCGGGAGCTCTGCGCTGGCGGCAGAGCTTTGCACAGCTCTCTGAAGTGGTCCACCTGTCAAAAAGATGTCAGGGGCGCGGGTAAAGCTCAGGTTTACCAGTCGTTTTTGGAGGAACGGCACTAATGCCTTGTTGCTCAGGTTATTTGTGGAAGAGTTCGTGAGGGTGGCGCGATTGCTGTGGCCTAGGCGGCTGGGAAGCTGAATGGAAGTTTCTGCAGCCAGGCGTGAGCTGTTCACGTAATGCCGTAATGCGCTGCTGAGGCGCATTCTGCTTCTAGGAGCCGGGGCGATAGGTCTGGCCAGACAACAGTCGATGACAACGAAACAAGCAGCGTAACCAACTCAAAATCTTGGAGATATCTGCAATGCTGGACAACGGTGATTTCCTTCATCGCTTTTCCCGCAGCCACTGCCAAAGGAAATCAAACCACCAAGGAGAAAGGGTTCCTGGATGATTGCGAAGTCCACGAAGTTCTACGGGGGAGTTAAGCCCTGAAATCCTCAAACCTTCGAGCCCCACTTCGCTTCCGCCTGGTTCATCTACCGCCGTCGCTTCTGGCAGCTTTCCTCAAAACCTCTTTGTGATGCACCAGTAGGCTTTGGCTGAGATTGGTTCAAAGTTTGCAGGTCCTAAAACTCAATACGCGCTGGGTGTTTTGGGTGTGAAGCCTAGAATGCTTTCTTCCGATGATGCGGGTGCAAGGGAACTCATCTCTCACGCCTTCCTGGCCAGCTTGTCGTGTCCGTCAGACGAACAAATCAACTGCTGCTAGACATGTAGGGTGGCTGGGCGTTGGGTTGCAGCTTCGTACCAGCTTCAACTCACGCAACCAGCAACAGAGCAGAGCCAGTATCGTGTCAGGCTCACTAGGGTATGTTGGCTTCATTTGCGTCAACAGAGCTCTGCACCACGAGAGCGCATGCTGCATGCATCCATCATCAGCAGTAGCAACTGAGGAATCTCAACTGAGGATCCGCATACTGAAATCACTGTACACTTCTCTGCTTTCCACCTTTCTTGGAACCCGGGCTCTTGGAAGCATCTGTGGTTCAGGACTAGCATTGAAATTGAAAGCCCGCGACACTGAATGCATGTGTGAACTGTACTTGCTGTGCCGTGTGCCTGTTTGCTGGCAGCCTTTTCTTTGCTGATTCTTCCTCATAGGTCCTCGAAGATCAAGGTTCAGAAAGCAAGGTGATGCCCATAAGCACATCAAGGGGCCAAAGCTCCTGGGACATCATGCTGTCTCCAAAGCCACTCGAGGAGTAGGCGGAGCCCTGTGACTGCGAGGTGCCTCCCTGCTTGCGCAGGTTTTTGCCCTTCCTGGCAGAGACCGGGATTCCCGACTTGTAGGTCTAGGTTTCCAGTTCACACAGGTTGAGTTGGAATGGCTTCCAGCTTCTAATGGCTTCTAGGGCCAAAATTTGCATGTAGCGTCACTTAACTGCATTTGACGGAACCTAACGTCCTAGTATCACAATCTGCCACTGAGAGCAGCTCCCATTAACGCTTTGTGAGACTAAGGCTTGTCTCTTGTCTTCTTCCCTGTCTCGCCTCTTGGACCGGTCCATGGATGTCTGGCTCCGCTCGCTTCGTTGCGATGCAGAGAGGCTTCCGCTTTGGCTGTACCTGACAAGATGGCTTCTTTTTGTTTTGTGCTACACGCACTGCCTGCATGCGCAGGCTTTCACCCCCAAAAACACGGCTGGCACTACACAAGCCATGCCCCAAAACATTGACAAAGCTCTGTCCCAGTCGCATGGAAGGTCCGTTGAAGTACTTCGAAGGAGCCTGGTTTCAGGCAGGCCACTGACGCAAATGGGCTGGAATCTGGTTTGCACATTCCATGATGGTTGACTCTTGTGTTGGGAATCCGTGCTGCTATCGGACAGTAAATCCAGATGGGTGTAGAAGGGAGCGCATTTCAACGCATGGGGCTTCCACAAACGTGGTGGGGCATAGTGGGACTTAACTTGCAGCGAATCTAGAACAGAATGGCGTAAACATGCCGTACGAGTGTAAGCAAGTACTGGACAGGCCATGGTTCTTCAACTTCGCGGTCTAATGTGCAAGATGAATAACTAATCTTGGACGATGAGCACCTCGTAGAACTCAGCGCGAGTCACGCGCCAGATGACTTTTCATGCATCGCACAGCATCGAAATTCCCAGGAGCAGACACTTGCTTGCGCGTCCAAGTTTCTGAAAAGATGCTGTGTCATCAAGAAACGTTTCAGCCAGATAGATGTTTGCCACATGGCTGTCCCAACCAACTAGCAAGTAGACACAGAGCCAGAATCAAAAAAGTGTCTCTGTTCAGGAGGGCTCGCAGACTCCAAGATGTAACACGCTGACGACGTGGTCAAGACGCTGCCCGGAGAAACTTGCTTTCAATGACACAGAACTTGGAGCACCGCAGGCTTGGGCAGGTGGCATGGGGAGTGAGCTAGGTCGAGCACAACAGAGTGGCACAGGAGCGGGCATTGCCTGCACGGGCGCCATGGACTGGGCCATCATCCCGGGGCCCATGCCTTGGTTATAGCTTTGTGTGACCAAGAGGGCTTGGGTGATTTTTGGGGATCAGGGGATGAGAGGTGTAACAAGGATCACTCGTTCCTGCTACCACTGCCAAGGCCAAGAGTGGAAGCAGGTTTGTATGGAGGCTTTGGAACCCTCGCGCAAATGATCAGTGGAGCACGTCAAGTTTGGCAGGCGTCTGAAGCGCTTGACACGAAATTACCAGCCCGGTAACCTCTGCAACGAACGGGGCTGAGTACTTAAAATTGCCCCCCGAATCAAAGGGGACGCTTTGAAGCCCAATCCAGTTTCTATGAGCGAGTTGAATAGGCAGACCAATATGTTGGCAGAAGGTACCATTGGTGCTCGAGGCTGCAGGACCGCTAGCACCGCGGTAGTAGTCCATGTCCATCTGATCCTGGGCTGGCTGATCCAGACGAGGTAACCCGCAAGATGGTCAAGAGGAGGTTTGCCAAGCTGCCCTCTTCTCATCGTCAAACTGGCCGACCTCAGTAGTGTGATCTGCTAAAGCAACCGCTGAAGCACTATACTTGCAGCCGTGTGTGAACCAAATCTGCGCTCTCCTAGGTCAAGCTGCTGCACCAAGCAAGTCCCAAGCCTTATTCCGTTTCTCTTGCACCCTTTTCACCAAAAAGCTCTGGACATGCTAAGCCTCCTGAGCCCTCGGCAGCAAATCCCGCGGCGTACCACAAGGATTCGGCCCAAACAAATTGCAATCCAGTAGTTTGATTACGTTTGATTACAAGAAGGAAGTGCGCTGGATACAGAGCTGTCCCAATTTGCCAAATTCTCTTAAAGTTTCAACTACGATCTGCTGACATCTGAAGCAATGCTGCTCGCCTCTGCTCCGATGGGGCCCTTGGCAAAGTAGCGCGACGGGAGTCGCATGGGCCTCCGGATTTGGGGGTGGCTTCGTGGTGCTGCTTAGAACTCTGAGGCCCAGTACACAATCCCTTCTTCTTCTTCTTCTTGCTGCCGCGGTTGTTGCTGTTGAAGCTCATGGGTTGGGATAAGAAGCACCTTACTGGGGCTCTCAGGAAATGAAGCTTCCATGAAACTGCTGTGGGAAATATCATGGAGCCCCCCCTTCTGAAACACTGCGAAGATGAGCCCAAAAGCCCCTTGACTGGCGCTACGATTCGACTCTGCAAAGGGCAGAAATTGAAGTTTGCAGGACTGATGCTGATGGCTTGGGTGCTGATTCAGACTGCAGAATGGAGGCCTTGCCTCTGAAGTTCCATCATCAATCCTATACTGATTCACCCAGCACCTGAACAGTGATAACCCAATCTCCAGCACGATCACTATAGACTCCAGCATTCACTGAGTGGGCGTCTGAATGCAAACTCCTTAAGCCCTCAAGCACTTGGCGAGCTTGTTGCAGAGTGGCCCACTGCAAGGAGCTGAACAACTCTAGCCGCCTAGCTTGTACCAGTATGATCAGGGACGCATGCAAAGCTGCAAATTGCCCCGTTCGCCCTGCAGACAAACAAGATCCTGTAGAAAGCTGAGGCCAGGTTAGATGAGTGCCGTCAGGACTTTCTGCATCCGCGGGGCTTGCTGAAGGTGATGTGACACTGCCGGAGGTTGGAGAGCGGCCTTCAATTCGTCTTTGCTTAAGTAGATCCCAGACACATCTAAGCCAGTGGCTGCTTGAAAGGTTGCGGAGGCATGGGAAGCTTTGGGTTCTGTTAGGGTTGCAAAGTCCAGCTGCTGCTTGGCTTTAAGATAGGTTATAGCCCAAACTCAGCAGAGAGTACGTGCGACTATGCCTGTGCATGTCTGCCACATGGTTATGCAGGAGCTTGTCTGAACAAATGTCAAGCCTCACATATTACTCCCGAACTAGCGACAACGAAACGTTAGACATCTTCAACACAAATTACATTCAGCCTACACTGCTATAGCTCTCGTATAAGCTCAGACAGTCGCCCTGACAGCCCTTGTGATAATTGATCGGCGGCGCCCCTCCACAACAAGCTCGTACTTCTTGTAATGCCCAAGGAGGTTGACCCACCTTGCGGAAAGAGTTGGACTGCCTCCGCCCGACAAGGCCAGACGCATCTAAACTAGCTCGCAGTATATCCGATGGGAGGGCGGCTTAAAAAAACAAACCAGATAGGAGCCACGAACCCGAATGCAGACACGTGTCACGTACATGCAATGATAATAACACCCCCCGGGCGAAACCACTTAAGAGACTTAGGTCCAGCGTCATCCCTTTCTCCTCTTTCTCCTCCTCTCTCTTGCTCTTCCTCTCTCTTTTCTCCTCTTTCTCTTCTCTCCCCTCTCCTCTCTCCTCTCCTGTCTTCTCTCCTCTCTCCTCTCTCCTCTCTTCTCTCTCCTATCTCTTCTCTCCTCTCTTCTCTCCTCTATCTTCTCTCCTCTCCTCTATCTCCTAACCTCTCTCTCCTCTCCTCTCTCTCTTCCCTCCTCTATCCTCTCTCCTCTCATCTCTCTTTTCTCCTCTCTCCTCTCTCCTTTCCTCTCTCCAGAGGCGAGTCCAAAAGTGACGACAGTTCTGGGTTTCGCGACCACGACCCCCCCGA